AAAAAAGGAACTTTTAGACAACAGAAAGCTTTCTGGAATCTGAGTTTCTGCTATCAATGAAATTTTAAAGTTAGGGATGTTCTAATAATAAACATTTTTGTTCTGTTCTAAAACTCAGCACTGAACTTTATGTACCCCCAGGAAAAACATATGCCTGCATTTAGAATGACTAATTGAATGCAATTATTATTATTATTATTATTATTATTACTACTACTACTACTACTACTATTACAGTGGTACCTCGGGTTACAGATGCTTCAGGTTACAGAGTCCGCTAACCCAGAAATAGTACCTCGGGTTAAGAACTTTGCTTCAGGATGAGAAAAGAAATTGCGCGGTGGCGACGTGGCAGCAGCTGGAAGCCCCATTAGCTAAAGTGGTGCTTCAGTTTCAGGTTAAGAATGGACCTCCAGAACAAATTAAGTTCTTAACCCAAGGTACCATTGTATTTTATATTCCGCCCATCTGGCTGGGTTTATGGTACTTAGACACTCTGGGTGGCTTACAACATATAAAACACAACAAAACATTAGAAATCAAGATATCCTATACAAGCCGCAAACAAACCAATAAATCTATAAAAACCAATAACAATAATAACAGTAATAAACAGTTTACAGTTATACCCAAATTAAAGTAACCGCCAACACCAACCCAACAAACATGAAACAGGGGAAGCAAAATTAGAACCGTTCACAACATTTTGCAACATTTTAACCAGTTGGCGCAACCCAAGAGTTGCTCCAGCGATGTCCCAGTGGCGTCTGAGGAGCCTCTTTTAGCTGTTCAGGGTGATCTGGGCCCTGCCCCCAGGCCAGGTGGAAATGGGCCTTGCAACAGGGAGCAGTTCTTTCTTCCAGCACTCAGGCAGCAGCAAATTAAGCAGGAATTTTAATGTCTATTAAGATTGTGGCCTCTATGAAGATTATGAAACTTTTTCACAACATTCAGCCATTTGCTGATCCCAACTATAAAAACGATTTCTATCACTATAATTATTAGTTATTATAATTATTATAAGATGATCTCCTGCTTAAGAATGCATGATTAGTAGACTACCTCAGTAGTGGTACACAGAAATAAATGCAGCTAATAACTCTTACTGTAATGATTAATCAATTTATGCATACATTATTTAAACTGATAGTTCAGGTAGGGTACCTTACAGAGTGCCTTGTTACAGAGTACATTGACCAATTCAAATACAAGCTACCAGAATCAATAGCAAACTGCAAATAAACTCTGGAGAATATGTATCCTTGCATACAAATACTGAGGGCTTTTTGTTTCCCCTCGAAATGGCCCAGTAGAAGAAAGAAGAAATAATTATAATTTTGCTAAGTGTTTGGATATTAAATATCATTATCTTAACTAAACACACTTGCAACTAGCAATCAGCATTCACAGCATTTTAAATCACTGCATTTCTGTTTCTAGTCTTCATTTATATCACCAATTTTCTGTTTTCAGTCTCCTTCCAACTCCCACTCTTGCAATGAAACATTGCACCTTTGAATGTTTTTGGAGTTTTTAATCTTTCAAACATATTTCATGTTTGAATTCAGTATATAAGACTTAGGGGTGGGGAATGTTCCACACAGCACAAGACAAACTACATTTTAAAAGAAACATTAGATGATACTAATAGAGATGTTTTGAAATTCCACACAAGAACTTTTTAAAAGTATGTGTATTACAGGGTGCACACGTTTTGCCACTTGGCAACTAACTCTTCTATTTCTTTTTTTTTACAAAATAAAATAAAATTCCAAATGTTAAATCCACATTCTGATTTTCAAACACAAGAAAAATGAAATAGCATCTTGGTGTCTCTCCTGTCTATGAAAAACAATCCCCCATGGAATAATTGATATGGTCACACATACCCCCATGTTTGTTGCTCTAATGCAAAACAGTAAGGCTGCAATCCTAACTCCACATACCTGGGAGTAAATCCCACTGAACTCAATAGGACGTACTTCTGTGTAGGCATGATTAGGATTGCACTGTTAGTTATATGCTAGCTGCATACACACACGTTGCAGGTAACAACGTTTGCCTTGTGTGCATTGTGTGAAGGGACATCATCCGTAGATTGTAGGGCTCTATCTGCCACCACAATTATGAGTGAATGTCAGCCCAGCTCCTGATCATCCAAGCATCAGATGCAGGGGTAAGTCCACTTGTGTAGGCTTTCCATGCAATCTGGAACCCTGGTCATATGGCAAATCTACAAACATGGACTTTCCTTAGCAGCTGTCCAGGTCTAGTACATGGATGTCAGGGCAGTGGTACCATCCAACAACAGGGGCACAATCCCACAGCCTCATTCTATGCTTAAAGGAGACTGTTGTCTCTGTCTCGCGCACATAAACTTGTGCTGATTATAAGAAATTACATTGCTGTGTATATAATACAATCCCTAATGGTGCTCTACCAGTAGCTTTGAGATATACAAAAATAAAGCACCAACAATGCTCCACTGGTAAACCCTTTGAATATGTGTCTGTGCTTGATTTACTACATCATTTTTAACTTTGTGTTAAGGTTTTATTCTTTCTTAGTGGGATTAGTAATTAAACCTAATTCATTTGAATTTACTAAGTAAACCAACAGCTTGCTCTCCCCATCCCAGTGCAATGGGTGTATTTTATCGCAGTTCCAAGTGATACTACATTTTAAAAATTAATTAGTAGCTTGCAAGAACAGCCACACATTATTGAGTAAGTAACAGCATTTAAGTGAAACAGATGAAATATTGGTAAGCAATGCAGACCACAGTATAAGTATGTGAAGGGGGTCATAGGTTAATCCCTATTGATTTTCCAAGTATGCGTACAGCACCACTGGGAAAGGCCAGTTCTGTTGGCAATCTGCTAGCACAAATACATTATAAATCTTACTGTCCACCTTCACAGATCAGTGTCATTTACTTCCTTCACTAAAGACTGTTAAGAAACTACAGCAAATCTACACTCCAAACAATCTGAACACATCCGTTTATAAAGCTATGGTTTAAAATCAAATGCAACAGACTATGTATCCAAAAACCCTTTTCTTGCATGTCTATAACACCGTATTTGCCAAAAATTATCATATAATATAAGCCTGTAAATTCAGGGTCCATTAGAAAACTGTAAGATTATGAAAGGGTGGGTTTTTTAATAATTGCTTTGAAAGGGCAAATAAATTTCACATAATAACTATGCAATTTGATTATACAAATCACCAGTTGCTTTAGACATCTTATACAGAGATATATTTTTGATGAACTTTCGCTGGCCTGTAAAACTGGAACCTGTTTTTATTTGTTTGTCTTACTGTTTCTACATGCTTTTGCTGGTTTTCTGTTGTATTTTTAAATAATATTGCTTACTGGTTTTATGTTGTTCACTTAAATATATAAAACATTAAGTGGTTCATCCACAAAAAATGGTTGTCAAGAAAATAAAAGTGTAGCTTTCAAGGGTGGGCAACCTTTTTTCTGCTGAGAACTGCATTCCCTCAGGCATAAGATGCTGGAGACCACATGTCAGTGATGGGCAGAACTAGAACCAATAGTGGGAGGAGTCAGAGATAGAAATGTTCTGGATTATCTAATCTGGTATAAGGACTCATTTGCATAAATTTTCATCGTGGCTATCCTAGATTACAATTACCTGTTTTATGCAGGGCCACTCACACAGCATAAGGCCCAGATGGGGGGGGGTTCTTTCCCCCCAAGTCATAGAACTAGAATTTTATTTTGGATCAGCATTTTTTTAAAAAGATAAAATACTGTCCCTTCCAGTTGTTCTGAAATTGTAAAGGAAGTGGAAGGGAAACAAGAAAAAATAAGATGGAAATTAACAGAAAGGAACTGTGATGATAATAGTAGGTCAGCTTCAAGAGTCTTCTGTGCTGAATACAATGAGGTTGGGTTGCAGGTTGCCCACCCCCACTTTATATTCAAGGCTGAGTGGACAAATGAGTGCACACTACAAAACTAACAGGCATGTCATTACTTACTGGGAAGACCATTTGAGTAGTTGGTTCTCCAACCCTCCCTGAACTGAGGTTTAACCGGGGGGCAGGGTGCTTCACAGAGCCACCTGCTAAAACTCTCCACTCTCTCCCTGGCAGGCTGGGTGAAGGATATCCCCACCCCTTCATTAAACTTCCTTGCAGGTTCTTCACCCGGTCGGGTTGTGAAATGGTGCATGGTCTCTGCAGTGCACCATTAAATCTTCTTGTGGCCAAGATTAACAGAGGAGGACAGGTGCTTTGCCCATCAAGTTGCTAAACCTTTGGGCAAAAGGCCTCCCCACCCATCTGTTAAACCCCACTACAGGCACATTTAACAAAGAAGCGGCAGGGACTTTTTGTCTTCCCTCCCTCCCTTAAGCAGCTTGCTTGGGCTGGGCTTCCTCATGTTGCTTTTGGTATGGCCACCTAATGGCAGTCATCCAACATTTTCTATTCCTTTATATACAGTGGTACCTTGGGTTAAGAACTTAATTCGTACTGGAGGTCCGTTCTTAACCTGAAATGTTCTTAACCTGAGGTACCACTTTAGCCAATGGGGCCTCCCACTGCTGCCGCACCACCACCACGCGATTTCTGTTCTCATCCTAAAGCAAAGTTCTTAACCCAAGGTACTATTTCTGGGTTAGCGGAGTCTCTAACCTGAAGCGTTTATAACCTGAAGCGTCTGTAACCCGAGGTACCACTGTATAAGAAAGTATGTACCCACAGACTCTAGTCTGCTTCAAAACTCTATAAATACTTCAGAGCACACACGAAACTCCTGAGCAAACTCCTTATATAATACATAAATGTTCAGATATTACACTGTATATGCACAAACACTGTATATGCACTTGTGTGGAGAAGATAGAGAAATGCTATTGGGTGGCAGAGAGAAGGCGTAACTGCTCAACACCTACAACTGCTCAACTGCAAGGAGGAAAGATAGAAAAAGAGTTGGTAAGGGAACACCTAGCTACTTTAAATGAATTCAGACCTCCAAGACCTGGTTAGCTGCACCCAATGGTACTAAAGGAACTCGCGGATGTAATCTCAAAGCCTCTGTCTATAGTATTTGGGATTTCATGGAAAATAGGTATGGTCCCTGCAGACTGGAGGTGGGCAAATATCCCTATCTTCAAAAAGGAAGTTGGCAGAAGACCCAAGTAACTACTGGCCGGTAAGCTTGACATCAATACCAGGAAAGGTCTTAGAACACAGAGCTAAACAGTGAGTCTGTGAGCACTTAGAAAAGGATGCTTTGATTACTAAGACCCTGCATGGGTTTCTCATGCCTGATAAATCTCCTTTCTTTCTTTCTTTCTTTCTTTCTTTCTTTTGAGAGAGTGAGTGAGTTACAAGCTTGATGGATCAGGGAAATGCTGTGCATGTAGTTTATCTTGATTTCAGTGAGGCTTTTTTTAACAAAATCCCCCATGATATTCTTGTGGGGAAGCTGGTGAAATGTGGGCTGGATGAGATAGGTGGATTTATAGATAGTTGACTGACCAAACTAACAAGTGCCTTGTCATCCTAGAAGAAAGTGACAAGTGGGGTGCTGCAAGGTTTTGTCCTGGGTCTGTTTTTGTTCAACATATTTATAAATTACTTGGATCAAGGAATTTAGGAGATGCTAATCACATTGGCAGGGTAGCCAGTACAGCAGAAGACAGAATCAAGATTCAGGATGATCTTAACAGATTGGAGAACTGGACCCAAACTAACAAAATGAATTTCAATATGCACAAACGTTACGTTCTGCACTTAGGCAGGAAAAAATATAAGCTGACTTGCCAGTAGTACATGTGCAAAGGATCTAGGGGTCTTGGTGGACCCCAAGTTTAACATGAGTCAGGAGTGTGATGCAGCATCGAAAAAGCTAATGCTATTCTAGGCTGCATCAACAGGTGTATAGTGTCCTGATATGGTCAGAGAGATTCTTCAAAAAGAATTAAACTAAAAATATTTCTTTTCTTCATTGAATTAATGATAAGACTTTGTCTGGAACATCTATTTCAGATTCCAATTTATTGCATGCTGCATCCTCTTACAATAAAAAGCCCTGGTAGTGTGTCCCCTAGGACTGTAACATATACAATGAAAATGTAAAACTTCTATTTCTAAGTGAAATTCCTTGTGTTTATTTTCTTTTTATAGCAAGTAATTCTTATACCCTGGAGGAATGGTCTGAGAACTATATTGACAGTACCAAAGTTTAACTCTGGCAAAGCATAGTACAAACACACAGAGTCATTCTTTGTATAATCAGACTCCTGGAAAAGAGTAGTCCAAAGATACTAACATGAACTTACCTGTTTTCAGAGATATAAATATCTGCAGTGTTTCTAGAGTTGTTCATACTTTCAACAGATTCATAGTGTTAGCAATGATGTGTTAAAATTAAGCCCCTTTCAAGTGCTTAGAAATTAATACAATGAATATGCATGTTGTTGTTGGCATCCATGTGTCTTGAAAGACAATGGAGTCAAACCACTGCCTTAGCAGCACTGAAGTGACCTCCCTGGGGTGCAAGCCTGGGTGGTATGTATAGAGATCACGGACTGCCCAGATGATGGGAATCTCCTCTTGGCCTCACTGATATGATCCAAAGGAAAGGACAGCAATACATTTGGCACTAGTTTTAACTGGAGGAGGTGCCAGCAGGAGGCATTCAAGGCAGCATCCAACTTTTTAAGGGATTCCTCTCTGGATTTGTGTAGGGTTTACTCATCAGCGTTTAATTCTTCCAAAGATATCGCACAAGCCAGCGGAGGTTTAGGATCAGAGTTTTCCTTTTCCGAGATGGGCTACCTTCCCTCACTTCCCTCTACAGCACATGCAGAAACCACCTTCTTGACTGTTGGACTCACTATTGGTCTTGTCCACACAATCTGCTTGAGCCTGTCTTCACATGCAAGTGAAGTCCCTAACTCACTGAGGGTTTGAGACTCATTGGCTACCCTCACCTGGTTTAGCCAGCCAGTTGAAGGCATTCCTGGAGTGTGGCTGCTGTCGCATGCTGACACAGGTGAGAGCTGAGTTCAGGGTGGACACACTGTCCCAGAAGGAGCATGAACTTTTCGAAGGCCAGAGAATAGTGACTCCTGGTCTAGAGAGAAGGCCTTTGTGTAGAGGCCTTTCTTTACATGATCAGGCACCTTTAAACTCAGGGTTTTCAGACAAATGTAATGAACCCCCACACCCACAGCAATACATGGAGAACTTTCTAAAAGTGTTCTGATAAACTGATATAGAGGCAGAGTCTGCTGTTGCAATGTCACCACCCTAGACATGCATTCCCTGTAACTATTGTTGATGCCTAGAAAAGCTCTTAAATTGTTTTTCACAGGTTTATCCACTCAGGATAAAGCTACATGCATACTTATTTTTAAGTAAGCCTCTTTGGACTTAATGGGGCTTTGTTCTGTGTAAATATCCCTAAGACTTCGTCACAAGTTATTGTGTGTAAATTGTTGTATTTCCTTGCCATTTGAAGTGGATACTGTTCTAAGAAATGTCAGTCACATTGTGAGAAAATGTACTGGAGTTTCAAATTTAAAAGAAGGAGTAATATTTATGCAATAGTAGAAATGCAAATCTGCAGATCTGTATGCTGGCTTACGGAAACAGGCGTTCCTTTGTTTGAAAACAAGATGTAATTTATTTATTTTAAAATAGGTTTCACCTAGCCACTATGCTACATCAGCTTTGAAAGTGTATAAGTTATAGATCAAGAAGTCTCAGATTTGAATGTCACTAAGGTGCTCCTAGGCAAGCCTCAGTCCCCCATCCGTAATATAAGAATAATAGTACAGATCAACCGTACAAGATTACTGTAAAGAATGCAAGATTTTTTTCTCTTGTATATGGTGTCATTTGTATATCCATGTTTGTTATTATGTAGGGTTTTTATGTGGTGAAATATTAAGTATAGAGAGACCTGGCTGCATTTCTTAAAAATTGCATTTTACAGGGCAAGTATTTTTTAAAGCATTCATCCTTCAAATAAAACAATACTGTCATCATCAAGGGGTTGCAAAGAACCTGTCTTTTCCATTGCACAACTGTATCGTTGATACCCCCCTGTGCATCGTGAAGCGTCATAGTTGAGAGAGGGAGTAAGCATGTTAATGGTGAAGGTTTAGGCAGTTTTTTTTGTCTGTGCTAATTTTTCTGTTTGAACAAATTCGTGGTTTCAATGATGGTTTGATTTCCTCCACACGGTTGCCTGTGGGGCAAACAGCTGTTTTGTATTAGAAAAACAACATGCTTTGAATGAACTGAAATGTTGCCTGGAATTTTGAATAGGTGCTGTAATCACAAAGGGACTGGTTCCACCCCCTCCCTGTTGGATTGTGTGAAGCTGAACAGTAGAGAAGGGAGAGAGGGAAGGGTGCAGGTCTGGGATCAGTTTACTCACAGTCTACTCAGAAGTAAGTATTTTTAAGTTCAGTGGGGTTTATTGCCAGATAAGTGGGGTTAGGGTTACAGCTAAAATGGATTAAGGAGCAGAGCAAGGAAGGAATGAAGTGCCATGGGAAAGAAAGATGTGGTGAAGGCAAATGACAATGTTAGCTATGGCAGTAACTCAGCTACAGCCCACACTTTTGGCCCTGTTGTATAAAAATGTCTACCTTTTAGGAATATCTTGTTCATTAATGTGCAACATCCAAATTTATTATTGTAGGCAGAGCTACTTATTGGATTGTTCCTTTAAGTATGTAGCACACATATGGTAAAAAACGCTCATAATTTTCTTTTCTTTTTGCGAAAGCACATTTAGCTTTTCAAAGGATCTTTTTAGGATAGAAATTGTTTTCTTCATGTCACTTATTGTTAATAACCACTAGGGGTCATTGTAGCTTGATTGTCATTCATAAATGCACAGTCTCTGTCAGAAGAATTCCTTTGTAATAGGACACTTGGGAATGGGTATAAGGAGGAATCTTATTATGAAAGGAATGGATGTTGATTATTTCGCTAGAGTTCAACATTCTTTTTTTGATGAAATTTACTGAATGCATTTGGATGGTAGCAGATCCAATAGGCAAAGGATGACTTAAAGCAGTGTGCAATGGTCTGTCGTTGATATTTCTTCTGAACTTGAATGTTTCAGAATTAAGTTTGCTTACTGGAATGTTAAGCAGAAATAAATGTTTAAGTTTGTAACCAATACAGATATGTTTTATTTTAAAGCAAAAAAATATTATGTGACTTTTATAATCCTTGACCATCTATGGGGGTAAAAAGAAATGCCAGTAGACGGGAAAAGCAACTTGAGGGAAAGAAGGTGATTTGGAATGGGCAGGCTGGCATTGGAGAGAGCATTAATCACATACACACCCAGACTTCTCCTGTTCAAATGTCCTTGATCCTGGAGCTGCTTTTCTTACAAATGCAGTACCATTGGTACCATCATAGGCATCACATGCAGTTTGCCCGCTTTTTAAATTGAACTTTTGATTCTGGGGTTTTTTTTGGGGGGGGGGGGTCTTCTGAAAAATGTAGACCCAAGCATTAAAATACTGGCTCTTGATCCAAAACATTCTGTTAGCTTTGACAAATGGAAGCCATCTATCCATTTTAGACTGGAATGATTATGAAAAAGGACTTTGGATAACTTAAAAGCTTCAAAATTCAAAGAGCTGTAGAAAGTGATTAAGTGGTGGTGTGGGTGGAGAGAGTTTGCTTTCTCATATTCAACAATAAGCTTTGATTTGATAATGCCCCCCACCAAATTTGTAGGCTACTAATTCAAACCAGATATTGCAGGTCTTCATATGATGCAAGCAAAACAGAGATGGGTGGCATCTGTACAATATCATTGCATACCATCCCCAATTGCCAGATGCTTAATTTAGTGTTCCTGTTTTCTTTTGGAAAATTAGGAACAGCTGAGACTGAGGTGTCTTTAGGATATATTATTTATTTAGACATATATACACTCTGAACGTACAATGGAGAGATTCACAGCATCAGCACTCCAAGAGGGTCTTGACTCTTCCATAGGCACAGCCTTCGATCTAAACAGACACCAACTATTGTTCTCTGCTTGTTGCTTCCCTCTGCTAAAACTGCTCACCTTCCCAGGGGGGCAGAGTTGCAAGCTGGCCACCTGAAGGCACGTTCTTTCACCTTTGGTGGACATGCCCAAGGATTAAGACATTCTGGGAGATGATTTATAATGAAATGAAAAAGGTATTTAAATATACCTTTCTGAAGAAACCAGAGGCCTTTCTCCTGGGCATGGTCAGCCAATTGGTGCCAAAGAAGGATAGAACTTTTTTTATGTATGCTACAACAGCAGCAAGAATACTCATCGCGAAGTATTGGAAGACACAAGATCTACCCACCCGGGAAGAATGGCAGATGAAGTTGATGGACTACATGGAATTGGCGGAAATGACTGGCAGAATCCGAGACCAGGGAGAAGAGTCAGTGGAAGAAGATTGGAAAAAGTTTAAAGACTATTGACAGAACTATTGTAAAATTAATGAATGTTAGAAAAATGTTGGAATGAAGTTATATGGCTTCAGTAGAAATGTTATAAGGAATTAAGTATAAATAGATTAATAGAGAATTAAAGGGAAAAATAAGGTTAAAATGTGTTAAGATAATTATAGGATGGAAAGCAGAGGAAGATGGAAAGGAATTGCTGAAACAACAAAATAGAAGTGGAATACAAAAAGGGAGGTGTGAGGAGGCCATGGAAATAAGTGAATGAAAGATTGAAATTATTTGATGTGTTTTAAATTGTTTTTGTTTTGTTTTCTTAGTTTAAATTGTTTTTGTTTTGTTTTCTTAGTTTAAATTGTTTTTGTTAGTTTAGTGCTACGTATTGTTTTTGTATTGTATTGTATTGTATATTTTCTTTTTCTATGTATGTTCAAATTGTTGGAAAGTAATAAATATTATCTTAAAAAGTTGCAAGCTGGCCACGAGCACTCCCCATGTACAGCGGGGGGGGGGGCGTGGTGCATCATCGGGAGTCCCGGCTGCGTCACGCCCCACGGCTGACCAATCTGGTTGACCAGGGGGCATGGCTTACCTGTTTTAAACATCCATGCAGCCGGGGGCTCAGTCTCCTTTTCTCCTCCAACTCCAACCTCTAAGCTCATCTTCCAACTAGCTGTGAATTGAGGTGGGGCACCTCCCATTTGCTGTCTCAGACAGAGTCATTTGCTCCTTTGTTCTTCTTAATGGTCCATCACTCCACTGAGCCTAGGGCTTGCCAATCGGAAGGTCTGCGGTTCGAATCCTCGCGACAGGTGAGCTCCCATTGCTTGGTTTCAGCAGCTCCTGCCAACCTAGCAGTTCAAAAGCACATCAAAGTGCAAGTAGATAAATAGGTACCACTCCGGTGGGAAGGTAAATAGCGTTTCCTTGCACTGCTTTGGTTCGCCAGAAGCGGCTTAGTCATGCTGGCCACATGACCTGGAAAAACTTTTTGCAGACAAACGTTGGCTCCCTTGGCCAGTAAAGCAAGATGAGCGCAGCAACCCCAGAGTCGTTCGCAACTGGACTAAACTGTCAGGGGTCCTTTACCTTTTTAAATTAGCTCTTAACATTAGTTAATTCCAACGGATAAGTATTGTCTAGCACATAGCTCAATACACAAGTTTTAACACTCCAAGCATTGATTAAATTCTTACATTTGCCTGATCTTGATATGATAGTGGTCTAGCATCCACAAACTTCTTACATTATTGTACTGGGTTGGGAAGCTTTTCAGCAGCATACTTTCACTGGGTCTCCTCCTACGTGTGGACTTGCCTTTCATGGGGATGGGGAGAATGACCTCCTTCTCAGTATCATTTCTGCCTGTTGTTCTCTTGCCAGGAAGAGAGCTGGTTAGTAAAGAAGTGGTTGTAACTGCTGGTCATCATACACTTTAACCTCACTTTTGCTCACAGTCCCATGCTCTAAAAGTCCCCCAGGCCGGACAAACATTATCCCTATACCAAATGATAATCACATATGCAAAAATGTGCATGTGCTAAATGTTTAGGGTTCAATATTACTGAGTTTAATAAATAAATGTCAGTTCATTCCCTAACAATAAGGAAACTAATAATGTCACAGCTAACATAAACCAAAGAAATGGACAGTCTCCCTCCCTCTCACATGCATGCATGTCCCTTCCCCTTTCAGAGACTCATGAAATGGAAGGAGACCATGAAACAATCAACAAAATTCCCACAATATTTTTTCTAGAGTGGGGAAGATGGTAATGAGGTAGAAACTATAATAATAAAACACAGACTCTGAGCCTTGAAGGAGGCAGTCTAGAGTAAGTAAGCCGCTACCTATTTTGATGACCATTTCCAGGTACTGCCATCAGGAAGAAATGTATGCTTGCTATTGTATAAGCAAGGTTTATGCCAGCATTGGTTCACTTTGGCATAAATTCAGTACCACCCATCTTGTAAGTATTTGCCCTCTGACTTCAGCTTCTTGAATCTGACTGTAGGAGAGCATCTATTGAACCAAGAATATGTGAACCAAGAATATGATGTGCTTAGTATAAAGGCAGTGAGGCACTGATATTCTCTTATTAACTTGTCTGTGTGTACTGCTTATAGTTAAGAGCTGTTTAACAATGGTTGGGGAATAATTGGGAAATAATTTAAATATGCTATAATTGTAGTAATGCCCTACCAGAAAATGGGCTGAAAAGAATATTTGCATAGTCTTGAATTAATATTTCCCTTTTCTAGCACCTGTTTATTTATTTATTATTATTTTTGAAAAAAAAGCTTATAATGTTTAGATGCCTACCAGTTGGGACAAAAGGATTCTGAAGTCATTATACCCTAACTGCTCAGATATCTTGGTATATTTCTTGTTATTCTACTTGAGTACCTCATTCAGACAGAGGTTGCCAATAAAGTTTATTGTAGGAGCTAAGTGTCAATATGTGTAGTACCCCCTGCCTAGGGTGCTTGTAATTAAAATGCCACAGATAGTCTGGGAGAAGCATGAAAATTTGATGGCAAATTGATTTCAGGTTCATCTTGAAATTTGTCCTCAGCTGGACTCGATACTGCTGGCAGACGTTGGATGGCTTTTGTCAAAAGGGTTTGCTAGAATGAGACAGAGATGCCTCGATCTGAATATTAAATACAACACAGCTTATGACAAAAATATATTATTTTGCTTAGTGCAAGAATCATCAGGTGTGTTATTTCTTATTTTATTATTTTAAACTCAAGTCTATCTGCTTTTGAGGTTTATATGCTTTACATATGTAAATGAGTTCTGGGAAAGTTAAGGGAGGAGGGAAACAAAGTAAGTTTTCTAAGAGCCGGGCCCCTGATCCATAAATATATCTGAGATATACTAGATGTGACTTTTTATTTATAAATGTGTGTGCGCGTTTGTGTGCAGAATTCTTTTTAAAGACATAGCAGGCAAATTCACTTTTTTAAACAGGAACATCATTTTTATTCCCTTAAAAGCTCCACACATTAAATAAAATTGGAAAATTTATAGCTGCTTATAAATGCCTATTAGGTTATGGTTTCTTGTAGGTTCCAAAGTCTTATCAGTTAACATGCCTTCTTATCAGAGATTTTACACTCAACATTGTAATGTACAGAACAGAATCATGTTTTCTTTCTCTCTCTGTGGGAGAAACATTTGTTTTTTGATATAGCTTGTATGAAAGCTTGGGCCAATTTTTGTTGTTGAAACTGTAAGATCTTTATTTCTATTTAAGTTCTGATATTATGATATCATTCAAACAAACTTGAAAGTGACAAAAATGCTCATTTTTGGGAGGGGTAGTTACCTGATGTATACAAAAAAGGGGGGATCACTTCTGAAAGCGGATGATCAGTGGTGTAATGAACTTGCGACTTGCGACAAAACTATCTGATGTTGGCATGAGCATAGTAATCCAACATATTGGCATGCAAAATAAATAAACACAGTAAATAAATGATCATTTTAAAATAAAAATGTAAAGATGCCTCAGTGCAAATTTGTAGACACTGATAGGAAGAGTCTACTTACGTGTGCATTCATTCATTGTACCTCCTGGTTGATATGCCAAGAGGTAACTGCTGTGTTTCCACCTAGACACATTTCAAAAATTAAGAATCATCAAGCAGCCTATCTGTATTCGTAACGCAGTTATAAACAGGAAATACCATGGGGTCAATGTCACCACAGTGAACTCTGTGCACAAATACATTTTTAGCTTGGTAGGAAGGGATTGCTCATAACAAAATATTGAGAAACTGATTGCTGAGTGACAATTTTATCAAGCCAAGTAGTTTTATTATTGTAGCTTGACGGATTTCTAAAGCGTTCAAGGACATTATTTCAGTGCCCAATCCACTATTTAAGGAAACACATTAGTTGACAAATTATTCCCCAACAAGTGAATTAGTGTCGAACCAAAAGTTCTTGACTTTTCTTTTGTTAGGAGGAAGAAATACTCCCCCCCCCCAAGATAAACACCCTAGGGACATTTGAGGGAATAAGCTCATCTAGTTGTTCATGGGCTGGGGTCTATTGTGGCGATTATAGTGGTTGTCATCAGCCTCTCTTTTTGCTATCACCAGGCAGCAGTAGTGGAACATTTTTGACAAGGCACTATTTAAAAAAGAAAGAAAGCGAAAAACCATGCAGATATACCACAGTTCTGTGTCATTTGGGATTTTAAAGGATTTTGTCAGTTCCTCAGCAGCGTTGGGCTTAAAATAAAAGAATTTTGGGGCAGGGGCAGCAATGACAATAATAAAAAAATCAAGGATCATAGGTGCCCATGTCAAACCCCCCCCCCCAAAAAAAAACAACAACCCAGCAACAACCATCCCTGAAAATGTAGCAGTGAATTGGGGAATGTGAGAAAATTTGTTCAACCCTAATTAAAAATTATTGAATGATTTCTAGTGGTCACTGCATTTCCTCCCATTTTTACTCTTTTTCTCTGTTTTGTAATTTCTGTTTCGATTTTCTGTCTTGCTAAACCACAGTTTCTCATTCATAAGTAGCACTAAAGCACAACTTTCTATTCTCTGTATCATTGGAAACTGGGAGCAGTCAGTGTGTGCCTGGGCATTAGACTTGTTCTGAGGCTGATACACTATGGTTTGTTGGCTGGATAATTTTATGGGTTATGTCTATGTGAAGCAGACCCATTGACATTCCTAACCGAGGCTCATTAATTTCAATGGGTTTACTCTGAGTAGAACTTCATTGGCTACAGCTCCATGTTTAAACTGGTTAGTTCCTTATTGTGTATTGTTACAAATGTTACCTCTCAATGCCAAGCGGTGGAAAGAACCCTTGGGGTCCCAGGCATCCACACAAGATCTGTGGCCCTTTGGAGAATGGAAGACACAGCGGAGCCTGTTGTGTTTTAATAACTATGGTTTATTCACCTATTTACACATTCAGCGCATGGAGGGAGTCCAGATCTTATGGCATAGTCATTCCAAGAGTATTTAGTCATTCCTAGGGTTTAGGGGGATTCCCTGCCCCCAAGATCTTCAACATCATGCATTCTCTCTCTGTGAGCGTGTAATTATGGGAGTGTTGGGCTTGGAGTGTACATTCCCTGGAATGCCCACCCTCTGCGATTAAATGCCACCCCTTTTTTCTATGACCACCAGTACTGGAGAAGTATGTGTAGCTGTATTTCAGTGTTTGAGGAACTTGTTTCGCTTTTGGGGGGGTTTAATAGTCACCAGGCCCGCTTACTTTCTGGACTATGTCTTTGCAGTCATCCATAAAACAATGATTGTAAGATTGTAAAGCCGGTCTATCTAATCTTCTTGTAATACATGCTCTTTACTCCATATCCAATGTTGTTTCTGTGTTATACACTCCCCCTTTCTGTCCAAAGCTATTATATGACCTCCAGATCTCTTCTAGACTGTTAGAAAGACATCCACATTCAGATAGCATCACTCTGTTCCTGTTTTTGATTAATATTTCATCAACCATGAGAGGAAATGGTATTTATTCTGTAGCAATGTAAGTAACTGAGCAGATGAGATACCTCTTCTAGCTTTGCTTAAAGTGGAGGATATTGGAGAAGAGCTGTAAATGAAGCTAAGAGTAAAGTGAAGAATTTCAGAGATTAAAAAGAAAGTTTTATGTGATAAAGATCTGTCAGCAGAAAGGAAAGAGCAACTTGCTTTTACCTAAACCATGAATTGTAATGATGGCAATATTAATAAAGTAAAATATTCTAGCTGCTGTTAATCATTTAACTTTCAGCATTCTCTGAAATCACATGCTTTAAAAATGTTACAGGTTTTTAAGCGTAGGGATAGAACAGAAGAAACAAAATGTGACATATTTGTCTCAAATAAATTTGTCTGTGGGCTCGAGTCATTTGGTGAGTGACAATGACAGAGCCATTTCCTTTAGGAAATCTCGCAAGCCCCCTGTCTCTGCACAAGCAAGCAAGCTCTGGGCAAGCATTTTCTCTATCAGGAGTTCTCTGTTGAGGGACACATGCTGGTGATGGGTGAGGCCAGTAGTGAGCAGGATGATCCCTCCCCCCATTATATAAAATAAAGGGGAAAGAGGGGCATCAGTTAGTCAAATATGAGCATGTTTTGGGAGGATCATCTGTACAGAATTGCTAAATTTAACATGAAAAGAGAATTCATTATGGGCCAGATTTAATGTCATCAGTGACCTCACAGAGAATGTATATGTATCCTTTAAAGAGGCAAGTTCTATCTTCACCAAAAGGATTCTTCTCCCAGTAGTTGGCTTGTTAGTAGTGCTTTTTTGCTGTCAGAGAAACATGCAGAACCCTTAATTCCTGTCAGTTGAGGATGAAATTGTTTCAACCTGCTGTTCTTTTTCTCTAAGTGTATCTGCTGTAGTAGAGACCATAACCTATGGTGGCCTCTTCTCTCCCCCTGCCCCATAATTTAAGCCACAGCAAGCAATACATTCCTTTGTGGATTTTATCAACACAAATTCTTCAAAATTAAATTAGAATCTTTTTTTTTTTTTTTTTTGGTATCCTTCAGAGTTGTTTATTCTGAACTCCATAAAATGGAGAAATTAGTCCTCCTTTCAGAATATGTTAGTACTCTTCATTTCAGGTTAACTTAGAGTACAGTATTGACATGCATTGTTTCCTTTGGAATTTGCATGCTGTGTGGCGCCAGCTGGCAGGAATTAAAAGCTGCTATTCTCTAATAGAAAATAATGGCAAGTAGAAATGACATATCCCATAACCCTAATTATTCTGAGAGAGCTTGGATGATGTGCTTATTGCAAGAGTAGAATCCTGCAGTGGTGTAGGCTAAATTACCCATATTTCTGGTTTTACAGATGAAAAAGACAAGCAGAAAGAGAGAGATCTATAGAATCCACACTTTCTGATATTCCTAGGTTATTTGACCTGGTAATGGTACTGTTGGAAACTTCACACTGCTGTGAAATTCATTTGAACCCACTTGAACTAGTCGGATGCCCCTTTTGATGTGAGTGGGTATGCATATAGGAAGCTGCATTATTCTAACTCACACTATTTGCTGATCTAGTCCAGTGTTATCTGCTCCAACTGGCTTCAGTTCTCCAAACTCTTGGGCTACCTGCTACCTGATTCTTTTAACTGAGATGCCAGGGATTGAACCTGGAGCCTTCTGCATGCAAACCGTGCGCACTGTCGCTCTGATCTACTATCCTACTTTTGTATTTAGGACTACCAGTGGCTCTGAGTGACTAATTGCCTATGACTGCAGCTGGATAAGGGAATTATTTTTACACGTAAAATATTTTTTACATGGGAAAAGGAATTCATTCTTATTTAGATATATACCCTCACATTCACCATGGTGTAGAGGACCTATAAATTTCATGCTGTGTCTGCGTTTCCTAAGAGTGTGCAACAGTTACATGTTTCTCTTGCCAAGACCATAGGTTTATATATATATTTTAATAATACTTTTGTTTCTCTTTGCATTCCAAACAGCAAAAACAGCGGATGAGTGTAGACATAGTTTGCCCACCAGTGCTATGACTGCAGTTTGGTAATGAAGATGAAATGATTGTAATGATGACCTTTCTGTGCCTTTGTCTGTACAATGCCCTTCTCTTTAACTGAACACCTTTCAAATGAACACATTCTGAACTCTTGAACTGCTCATTCTGTTCACTGAGCGTATTGCTCAATCTGCACTTTATCATGATGTGTCTCCAAAGACTCTGTTTCCTTACATTTGATGTCTAGATGAGGTTTTTTTCAGAATCCTTCAGTAGTCAGAAATTGGGCTGTTAAGGGACCACATTAATCTGTGCCATGAAATCCTAAATTAGGGACTCTTTGTAAATAGTTTTCAAACCATTAAATAGACCTTAACATATATACTGCACAACTCAAGTCTTATTTGTCCATCCTCTTTGGATAAAGTACTTCACAATTTCTATTTGCCACATATTATGCTCCCTTCTGGTTATTTAGAATGTCCCAGACAGGTGTCTTTATTGAAAGGTTCAACAGAAGCATAAAAAATTATAGAATATTTATGCGTCTCTCATCATATTTGAACAGGCATTGGGAAAAGTTGCTTATGGCTGGGAATACTTCTCCCAGCTTGATTCAGAATTACCTCTGCTGAAAAGAACTCATTTGGTTTTGATCGTATTTGTGTGGTTAAGCACATGCCTTGCATGAAAAAGGTTTCAGGTTCAATCCCTGGGATCTCATCTCCAAGTATGGTTGGGGAAGGACTCCTGCCTGAAGTCTTTGAAAGTCAAGCAGTGTCAACACGACTGAACTAGATGGACCAATGATCTTATTCAGTATAGGGAAGCTTCCTATGCTCCACTATTATTAATTGGCATGTTTTAAGCTTGGCTCCTTTACCAACCACAGCTGCAGTTGGACTCCGAATGATGGGAACACAAGAACACAGCAATGCTTAGAGACCTTGCAGCTCAGTTACAGTTCTCCCTGTTCCTGCTTCTATTGTCCCCAAAATGAGTCTGGTGGTTGATAAGAATACAGTGGTACCTCTGGTTGCAAACGGGATCCGTTCCGAAGGCCCGTTCGCAACATGAAAAGAACGCAACCCGTGTCTGTGTGTCTGCGCATGTGCCGGTTGCGATTTGCCGCTTCTGTGCATGCGCGAGCGGCGAAACCCGGAAGTAACCCTTTCCGGTACTTCTGGGTCGCCGCAGGATGTATCCTGAAAGAATGTAACAGGAACTGGATGTAACATGAGATATGACTGTAGTTTCTGTGCAGATTTTGTTAGGCATTGAAATGGATGTGGAACATTTTTGGTCCAGTATGGTGAATCTGTTCAGAACTCTGTTCTGTATGTGTTCAGAACTCAGTGGGTCAGCTTTGGCAGGTACATGAGATGACCTGCCTGTTAATCACCAAATGTATTTCTGTTTGACAGGTGGGTTGTCACAACTAGCTAAACATCATTGCTTGGTACTTCCCCAGCACCTGACTGAAAGCAATAACTCTTCTTATTGGTATCATTGCTGCCATGTTAGTTTCAGCAAGAAAGTGAAGGGATGGATATTGTAGAAGTGGAGGGCTGCTTAATCCTGAGTGTTGACAGAGTTTGGGCTTGGCTTGTAATTATCCCAGAAGCTCCTAACTATGGAAATTTCTTCTTAGAACGGTCTGATACTGAACATTATTTAATCACTACAAATTATTGAATTAGTGATTTAGGGCTGTGTTTCCAAACCTTTCTGGAAAAATCCAGGTTTTTAATTGTCCAAAGCAATGCTGACTGGGATAGGTCCTCTTCACCATCATCAGTCTTTTCAACTGCGTACCTTTTCTCCACCTCTTCCTTCTTTTTCCCCAACTTACTATGTTGTGAGAACAGGGAGACAAAAATGAAAGAAGCTGAAAAGACTGGGCAATACCTCTCTTATGATTCTGATTTTCTTGAATTAAGGCTTTTGAGTAGCACAAACAAATCTCAGTCTCTTTCCATTATCTGTTGCTTTTAAACAGAGGTGAGGGGAATCATTCCGTCTTTTCAAGAGTCATACTTGAGCTTCCCCTCTCCCTCCGTTCTTCATTTCAGATCACACAAAGTTTCAATTTTTGCTTGTTAATATCAATATTACGCCAACGTCCCTTCCTCACTTGTAAATATATTTTGGTCTTGTATTCCGGAGAGAGTTGTCAAATCATAAATATATAAAAGAAACTTAGAATAAACAAACCATGGTCTTCCCTCTCCCCAACCAAATCTCATGCCGAATAAAAACTTATCTCAGTTCAAACCTTTGATCCATGTAGCTTATATGCAGTATGTTGCTGCAACCCTCATGCACCCTCATGCACTGGTACTTTAATGTCAACTGAAAATTAAATTAAATGGAGAACTTCTGCTTCTTAATGGCAGTGTAGGAGGGTTTTCACCAGGCGAAGCACTTTTGTACTCAGCACCCCCCTGCCTCCCACATTCCATGCCAGAGGGGGAGCCAGGTACCGAGACAAACTGTGAGTGAAGCCAATTTTCCCGACCCTGGGGGGAATTTGCAAGGATGATTTACTCTCTGTCATCCTTGTTTTTCATTCGCCAATGATTCCCCGCTGTTGTGGGGGCTGCTTCCATTAAGACAGGCAGAATCTTGGGGGCTGCTTCCATTAAGACAGGCACCAGAAGCCTAAAATGAAAAAAAATAAAGTAAAAGTTTGTTATTGTCAACCCAAGATTCTTCTTACATGTTAGACTTCTTCCTTAATGAACAGGCTCAGAGTTTTATGTTATTTTCATCATATTTAATATGCCTTTATTGTTCCTAGTGTTGGACTGTTGCAGAACTACACATGTGCTATGTAAATGTATTGTTAGACATTTATACTGAACCACATACCAATATCACTGGGACACAGAGCAGACAATCCATTATCCAGCAAATACACCTTTGCTTGCATTGGGTGGGCGTGCTGGGGAGACTCTGTGACTGTAGCTATTTCAGGTTCAGAAGCCATTTAGAGCTCAGGTGACAGGAGATTGGAAATTACTTTGAAGGCCTGTTTAAAAGACAGTTTGCATTGTTGCATTTAACTCCTTATATACAGTTTGACTTTCAGGGGACACTTTTCATAACTCTTCTTCCTTTGATGTGGTGCTATGAGTATCTCTGCCAGTAGTCAAATAGGTTATACAGTGTGTGGAACATTTATCGGAAGGAAATTCTGTGAGATCAGATTGTATATCATGCCAATAACTCTATCTGATTTTCAAATGTATAAAGTTTCTCAGCATTGCAATTTAATCTTTTCCTCAAGAGGGTAGAGGTTAAAGTAAAGTATAATATGTATATGTGTTGATATATTCGATGAAGATAAAGAACAATCTCTGGACCCAGACCTGTAAATAACTTTACATTATTTTTAATGTGTGTAAGTGAAAGAAGCAGCTGGCAAGTCAATCCCCATCACTTCCTGATGATAAAGCTCTGTGCAAATGCTACCTTTGTTTAAAGCCATATTAATTTAGCTTCAGTCACACAGAAAGGTAATAGTTTTCTAGGATTTAGACTAACAACTTCCCACTGTAAAGCATAATGTGATTTATAGGCTCCATCTGCCTCCATAAAGGAACTCCTCCCCCCATCTCAGCATCTGCATCTTATTTTGCACCTGAATCATAATGAGTAAGAATTCTGAGATGAGTTTACATTCAGTAGTGCTGTTCTATTTATACGTCAATGCTGTTTATTATAACATAAATCCACATCCAATATTTACTGTTAGCCGTGCAAGAAAATTAACTTTCCTGTGTGCATTTGTGTACAGTAATGCACAATCTGAAAAGCGACTGGTAGGCCCTACTAATGTGTGGCAACATCCTTCACCTGTTGGTAGTGTGTGATTTACCATGATTTCACTTTGCTAAATGTGAGCACGTGTGCTTTTCTTATGCCAACATGGTAGCATATGTATACCCTTTCTGATTTTATAATGTTGTCTGCTGATACCAAGCAGAACTGCTTGCAAAGTATACTCATCTAAGTTATTTTGTAAGTTCATTAACTATCTGATCTTGCAAGCTGAATTTTGGCACTTTTTTGTTTATATTAAAGCAGGGGTAGCAACAAGGTGTCCTCCAGAAGTTGTGGATTGCAACTCCCATAAGCCATAGCTAGCATAGGCAATGGCCAGGGGAGATGGAAATTGTAGTCCAAAACATCTGGAGGGCACCATGTTGGCTATCCCTGTATAAAAGCATTAAAATATAAATACGCAAAATTAAAAGTTATATGAAAAGATGTATAAATAAAAACAAAACAAGAGTATGTTTAAAGATAATATTTACAGACATACGGATTTACATTACGCTGAAACTTAATATTGCAGTAATTAATAAACAGTACCCAGTACTTTTTTATTTTTAGGACTTGAGAAAGCCTGAGCTGCAAATTAGAGCAAAATTCTTTAAGATACTTCTGTTGCATTGCAAATATATCTTACTCTGCTTTGAGAAGACAGGAAGGCGAGAAGTTGATGCCAAAATCTACACCATTTGAAATTTTGAAGGTTGTTAGAGAAATCACCAGTGCATCTTAATTCCATTGATTTCAATTAGTCTACTCTGAACTAGCATTAGATATCACACCTAATGTTTAGTTAAATGGGTAATCTGATTTTCAATTCAGCTGTCTAGTTATTAGAATTACATTAACTTGGGGGGGGGGGGCTGTTTATCCAATTTTGCTGCTGCCTGCATGCTGGTGTATCTAAGGCCAAATATAAAGATTTGCAAGAGCCAAAGAAGAAAGACAGTAAGCACTAAATGCAATGGATACTAGTTCATATGAGAAACATCAGGAGGAGCTTTATGGTATTTGAATCAGGAACCTTTGATTCTGTGTGTGCTACCTTGTGTAAAAAGGCCATTGCATTGTTGATTGCGTTATCTCCCTATGCAAGCAAATACTCTCATGCCCAAGGCTGGACCTGCCCACCCAGGCAGGCCATTTGACCTTAAAATCCCAAAATTTAAAATTCCCAAACAGCTTGACCCTCACATAATGGAACATAGTTGCTCATACAAAATAGATTTGAACAGCAAGGGGATGAATAGTGAGCAGGCGTTTCATGTTTGTAGAATGTTGTTCACCTGGCAAACTCAAAGCTCAGACATCTTATAGAAGGAAAAGTTTTATTATTTGGGCTAGATTTTTGTGGCTGAGACTACACAGATGATCGGATGTGTTAGGAGTTTTTTAGTAGCTCTAGGAGTTCTATATTGTCCATTTTTAAAAAATGGCTATATTAACCTATATTGTAAGTTATAGTGATAAGTCTTTAGAATAAAACACACTAGAAATTAAAACCATTTGAAATTTGTTAATAGACTGTCTTTTGTGAATCCTTGGGTTTATTTTCTAAACAAAATCTATACAAGTATGATAGTCCCCCTCCTCTCTTTGCTTCTAAATGACACAAGAGAGAAAACACTGGCTGTTGAAGACTCTTTTCAGTATGCGCTTATTACCATATTTGCAATATATGGCTTCAGTTCCCTCCTGTAACTACTCACTATGGGCTGTTTTCTCTTTGGAATTACACTCTTGCTTATGAAGGACAGCAAGCTGGGCTACTTGGGGTTTGTTTTGTTTTGTTTTTCAAGAAGTAACTGTAACCCAGCGCCGTGAACCAGAGGTCCAACCTAACCATGGCTATTAATCATGACCGTCCATTATTTACGGAGGATTCATTCATTGTTCCATAAAGGTATCTAGAGGGTCAATTAGAGACAACAGACAGGATTTTTCAAAGACACAAGAGGGTCAATTAAGCCCTCCTTGTAATTTTCTGCTTTAACAGCAAATGCCAGCCTATCGTGCAACAGATATAGTTTCGAAATAAACAGGATGCTTTTTTTCTGTTTGGGAAGAAAAGGGGGGGGGGCAAGATGTCAGTTTGCTAGTAACATATGGTTCACTGTCAAGCCATAGCCAAAGCAAAAAGAGATTTTTTATCACTGCAACTGGCAAAGTGCAAAGTTCCTTTTAGGGTCAGTGTACCTTGGGTGATGAGGGAATTTCTAAGAAGGAACATTCTGATTCCACTTCATAGGCACATCATTTGTCTCTGGATTCTTCTTGCCTGTGGTGGCACTTCTCTACACGACCAGACTAGAGTTGCAATACCCCAAGCACTTCTGTTGTACAACCTCCATTTATTTTAATCTCGACCATTGAAATGAATGAAGTGCTTAGTAAGGTTTCTTGTTTTTATTCAAATCTGATTAGAAAGAATAGAGATTGCTACAGATAGCATGATCAAGAATCCTACACGAAGTATTTGGCAAAGGTCCAGAGAGAGGTAGGTACAGGAGAACTAAATGGTTAGAAGCTCTTAACAAAATTTAGAAGAATACTACAAGAATACATATTTACATAATTTCCATTCAAGTGATGGAATCCTGGCTCCAGATTAAACCTAATGACATAAATGGAGTTACTTTGGAGTTAGAAAATGTTGAGAACTGAAAAATATTCAGGTGACATAGAAGCATAGAAAGCTGCCTAGTACTAGATCACTCCACAGGTCCATCATGTTCAGTATTGTTTACACTGACTGGCAGTGGCTCTCCAGGGTTTTATGCTACCATCCCTACCTGGAGAAGCTGAGGGCTGAACTTTGGACCTTCTGCATGCAAAACAAATGCTGTACTACTTAGCCACAGCCCTTGCTGAATACCTAAGAGTTGCATTCTTCAATACTTAAACAACATCTCTTAATACCTGCCCAGGTATTAAAATCCTCATCAAAGGCTCTTCTGAGAGTCATTGCATGCTGGGATAGGGCCTTTTTTGTGGTGGTGCCACTCCTTTGGAACTTGCTTTCCAGGGCAGCTCAACTGGTCCTTTATCCCTGTGGCTCACAAGTGAAGATGTTTGTTCGCTCAGCCAGTTATCAAGCTCACACCAGAGAGCATGCAGACTATTGAACAACCAGAAGGCCTTATTTGGATTCAGATCCCCTTTTACATGAGGTGTAAAAGAGCCTTTCTGTGTGCAGATCCAGCCAATTATTGCGTGCTTTTTCTGGGCACTAAAGATAGACAGCTATTGAAACTGGCAGTTTGCCTATAATTTGCAGTTTCATTGTGTACATGTAAATTTGTCATGTCACTATCTCTGTTTTTGTTACCACTTAAAAAAAGAATAAAGTGTTATATTTAAAAACAGGCCATGGAGGAAATATGTCAAACTTAACCTCTTAAAAGTAAGGCTAAGCATCTTTTTCCTTCAAAAGCTGTATTCTGTTGGAATCTGCAACATACCGGTAACTTCCTCAGAGTTCTGAAATTTCCCACTGTACTCAAGCTGTTTTCTTTTCACCGTTTAATTGTTCATATAGTATAACACACTCTGCAAAGGTTTCTTTTCCCTTCAGCTTGAAAACATGTTTTTGATTGAACAGTGCCTCTGCTTTTGTCATGTTTCATTTACAAAACATTTAAGTGGTAAGCAATCTTTATTGTTTATCTTTTCCCTGTCCCCTTTTAAAAATTAAAAACGGAAGCTTTGCATTTCTGATGATTCCTCAATGTCTCTTGTGCGAGCAATTCTCAGAGTAAGCATCAGTGGTTTGATCCTTATTGTCCTCTGAAGCCCCTTATTCTCCGTAGTCTTTTAGCAGAAAGTTCTAACTAATGACTTAGGGCCACACTCTGCTCTCAGATGCTGGCTTGCAACTTGCCTAGATTCCTAGGAGAGTTGTTTGTGCATCTTGGATAACAGAATTTGGCTCCTAGTGTGTGAAATTATAGCAGAAATGGACAGAAAAGCCTCTAGCACATTCATCTTACTGACCTCAAGCATAAAGTGGGGGTGAGGGTGGGGGTGAAAAGGATATTAATCCAGCCTCTATGTTTTCACATTATTTTTAGCTTTATGTTTCAAGGGAGAATATATGTGGCAGGGAATTCTAGTTTTGCCATGTTTTGTGTCTTTACTTTTAAAGAGTACTATTACTTAAATTTTGTGATGACGCTTCAGTAATATCAAATACATACTATTAATCATCTTGAGGGCAGCAAGTTTGAGAAGGCTATTAGAAATGATACCACATACATAGGCAGCTGCCTTATACCAGGTCAAAATATTTGTCCATCTTGTTTAATATTGTCCACTCTGATGTGATAGTGGCTTTGGAGAGTCTCAGGCACTTCTGTTGTTGTTGCATTTATATCCCACATTTCTTCCATTTAGCTGAGGGCGCTCTTCATGGCCCTGCTGTTCCATATTATCCTCATAACTACCCAATGGGATAGATTAGTTAAGAACTGGTGGCTGTTCCCAAAACACCCAGTGAGCTTTATAACCAAGTGGGAATTTAAACCTAGTGTCCCAGGTCTAGTCCAACACCTAACTTCTACCTGCCATGATACCTATCTGAAAGAAACACCATCCCTGTTTTTGTTTTTCCTTTTGAAGATGCCCTGTTAAAATTTTGTTCATTTGAGCTTCTACACGTTTAAGGTTTAGCTCCTCTGCTACAAGTATTTTTTAGTAGTTAAAGGTTGGGGCAGTAGATACAGGTTGTCTGTAGCGCATATTACTGTTGTAATTATTATTATTATTTGCATTTAATATTTACTTTTTAACTGAAAGGTAATTCATATCAAATTATCGAAAAGTAGTGCAGAAATTAAAACCATCATAAAACTATACATGCACATGAACAGTAAGACACCACACAATGTACAGCCTCCTATTACACACACTGCAACCACTATGGTATGTTTTGAAATTCTTACATTATAGAACTATACTTTTCACACTGCAGTTTTAACAGGCTCAGCATCCTACATGGAACTGGTGATGTGTACTGTTACAATGCATATTGCTCAAGGATATGTGAAAGGCTGAATATAGCAAATGTGTATTTGTGTGCACTCAAGACAGTGATCCTTTTTATAAAAATAGGGTTTGCAAGTGTGTTCTGATTTCTATCTATAAAATGTTAAATGGTATGATATTAAAATTTATGGCCATGTTGTTCCTTAGTATGTAAACTACAGAGATGAGCAGTGTGCATGAAGTGATGTGGAAGCTTTTGAGGCCCACAAAACTCTTAATCAGTCTGTGTGTAAAAAAGAAGACTATAAGAAACTGCCTTATGCCTGGTGAGACAATTTAGTTCAATATTGTCTACTCCGATGTCTACTCTGAATGGCAGGAGCTCCGGGAATTGTGTCTAAAGCCAAAATTGTGCATACTCAAAATCCATTTGAATTAATGGTGTGTGGGATTGTCAGTCATTTTCTCCAAAACTTGGCACCCTTTCCACCCCTTTTTAGCCACATGCATAGTATCTGATTACTAACTTGGAGGTTGCTGATTTTAGCACATGTGGCTGCAGCATTGGTGTCCATCACCAACTGTAGGGCTGCCATACGTCCTTATTTTCCAGGACACATCCTGGAATTCCGAAAATGGCATCCTGGATTATTTTTTGGAATTGGGGAAATGTCCTGGAAAACTGGCAGCAGGGTTTAAATCATGTTTTAAAAAGCTCCCTCCAAAACTCAGTAACTTTGGGGGTTGTCTAAAAAAGGCTAAACAATTTTTGGTGGTTTCTTAAAAAAACAACACCTCAACAATTTTGGGGTCAACAACTTTCAAGGTGTCCTGGTTTTTACTTTTTGAAATATGGCAACCCTAACCAACTGGTTCTTCACCAATTGGGGGGGGGGGAGTTTTTTATTCTGCTTATATCCCATCCTTACTCCCAAAGGCGCTCTCTCTCAGTCGGAAATTATTGGACATGACTAACTTTAGTTCATTCATTTTAGTTGCGTATAGCACACTGTATTGTTTTTTTCTTAAGCATTGTATCCTCCTTTGGGATTGTCTGTTTCAATGAACAGTGGATAAGAAATATTTCAAATAAAAAAATAAAAATCTTTCTAAAAGGACATACACTGACCACATTATTTCTGAAAGCATTTGGGTAATCAGTGTGATTACCTGGGGAAAGAAATTGTAATTTTAAATTCAGAAGTATAATTTTATAAATCACTTTGGCAATGCTTGTCTTAACTCTGTTTCACGTAGTATAGGGAATAACTGTCTTTATTATGCTTTGGCTTGGGTATTAGGATCTTTAACCTGCACCTAAAGCTGAGCAAATAATCCACAATGAATTATTTATTGTACATAATGAAGCTCCTGTACATCTGCTGAGATACAGGCACAATGGTGGCTTCCTTATGTATTCATTATTCAGATATACTGCATAATTTTTGTATAGCGCTATTGATCTCAAATACTGGAAGAATTGTGTTGCACCTCTTTATATTGAATTTGAAAAGTTTCATACTGGGTGAAAAAAAAATGCATGACTCTTGTGTTCTCTGATAGTAGACATGCTGGCTTGGCCCCAGGACCATGGGTGCCCGGGGCTGTACATACCGTGTGGGTCCGACGTCACACTCGTATGTCATCAGGCATGCTGAGGTTGGATGCACGCACTGGTGGGTGTGCTGATGTCAGGTGTGCACACTCCTGGCGCAAACATTTGTGGGTGCCCGGCCCCTTCATGGGGTATGTTCTGAGGGCTGGAGCACCCAGCCCCCCCCCCAGTGCCTAGGTCTGAAAGGATAATTGGCCCTCAGTGTGAGCACAACATCCATCACCAATAAAATTCTCAGTTTCAGGATGGGTCCTTTTAAAAGATAGGATTAATTTAAGAAGCCAGTGAGTGGCCCCAGATGAATAGAAGTTGATCCAAATTGGGCACAGCAGAGAGGATCCATCAATCACTGCTCCTGCTACATGAGCATAGGTGAAATGGGCTTCCTCCAAATTTTGCCATATGGTTGTAATTTCTTTCATTTTAGGCCACACTTTCTCAAGCATTTCCAGATAAAACATATTACTGACTGTCTAAGTTGTGAAGCTGAAGCTTTTTGTGGCATAGAGAGATTCATCAGCTCATCTTCTATCTAAGAAATACAAAGTAACAAAATATCCCCTCCTCTCCCCCCCCCCTTTTGGTCTCGGTGTATAAAGGGAAAATGCACTTTCCTACATTAAATCCTACATATGGTAGCATGTACTCAAAAAGGTTATTAATCTTTGTCTTATTTTCAAACATCACTGTACATTAGAATATGCTGTAATACTTTGGGGACAGAGCAATTCTAAACTGTTTGTATATTTCTAGAGTGCCTATTAATGCTCATGGCCAGATGGTTATATAATAAGACACTTGAAGTGATCATCAAGCCACACTTCTAAAGAACACAAAAATCACATGATAAAAGCTTAGGAAATTGTTGTGTTACTTGGTAACCTTATTTGATTGCCATTCTATCTCCTCTAGTGCCTGCATTTAACACCTTCCTTGTTACCTTACAGTATCCAAACTCATACATAGAATAGCAATTTGCTACATGTGGGATATGCTACTGTGTTGTCTGCTGTCTTCAAAACATTTTATGTACTGAAATACCATTGAAGTAAGTGAAACCAAATGGTGAGGGTAAGAAATTGGAAGGTGGGAATCTGTAATTCTGCAGTTTGTTCTTATTTTTATTTTTAAATCCCTGAGGTAAATGCCACTGTATTAAATATTGCAATAAAATTTGTCCCAGACCTGGCATTCTGCTTGTGTTAAGAAGTTTTAAAGGCCACCTGTGGGCAGGACAAAAGATCACTGGTATTGTCATCATTTACATCTGAAGGCTTCTTCTTTCTTGGCTAAGTAGGTAAACAGATGAATGACACCAGCACAGCTGTCAGAGAGATGATCCTGTGTACAGTAGTTTGACTGATGAGACTTCCAAATCTTGTTTACAACTTGTAACTTGGGTAGAAATATATTTATGAGAGTTAAATTACTGTTTCTGTGCCATTATTCTTGGCAGCCCATGCTCATATTCTGCTTTCATTCTTAGGCAGCCAAACTACATAGGTGGAATCAGTTGTAATCTATGGTTTCATGGGGCTTCTGAAGGGCCATCCTGAACCTCATGATTGAGCCTCAAAGCAGCATCACTGACCAGACCCAATGGCAGAGCTTCATGCTCCAGCACCGGGAGGCGGAGAGCAGACGGGGGTGGGGCTGGTGCGCATCTTGGGGGTGTGGCGCCCAGCACAGGTGAGGGGGAGCCGCGATGGCACCCTACCGGGATTGCGCTGCCGGGGCCGGTGTGCTCCCCCCGCACTCCTCTTCCTCCACCAGTGACCAGACCCAGACCAGCTTTGCAACAAGTGGCTACATCATGTGCCCTCAGACTGTGTCCTAAATCTGGCATCATTTACAACCAAAGAGGAGTCTCTTGAGATGGGGAACCTGTGGACCTCCAGGTGTTGTTGAAATCAAAGGTCCATCAGCCCCAGCTAGCATTCCTATTGGCCAGGGAAGATGGAAGCTGTAGTTCAACAAAACCTGGAAGGTGACAGATTCCCTACCCCTGTTGTTTGATAGGAACAGGAAAGTCTTTCCCTACTTTCCTGTGTTCAAGAATATACAAATAGTGCTCTCTTCCAGCATTGTTCATGTGAAAGGGGCTGCAGGACTGTTTGTTTAACAATGCACCAGAGTTGTATGTGTTCTTCTACTCCCACTGTTTCTGTCACCATGTTGGGCATAACTTTTGAAGCAGAAAGCTTGTCCTATATATGGATACTCCATGCATAATATAGAACCTCAGACAGTCAGAATTTTTTTAAATCAAAAATGGAACCTTTACATGTAGATCAGGCTCTCCACCTCACAATCATGTCCATGAAGTCCCTTTGACAGTTGCTCTCTTCATGCAGTTGATATCTTAAGTAGGCTTGATGAGTGTCTTTTCAGACATTTAGATGAACACATGTAGACTGGGGACCAGAACCAGTTCCCACAATGCTACATCCATGAATGTTCATTATTTGTGCTACAAATATCTCAAAATAGATAAAGTGTGCTTTGGGCAATTTAGATTTTTCAGCCACAGTCTGAATAATGGCTATTCTTCTATATTGGGTTAAAGAGAATGAGACTCACTTGTGATTATATACTGCCAATTTCTTTTGTAAGTAGAATGACTATAAAATGAAGCAATTTCAATAAAACTTTTTTTTTTTGGCCAGATTTTGAGAATTGACACATAAAAAGGATTTGTTCTCCAAACTGCCTTTGATTAATTATAGCTATAGACTAGCTATTACAATTTTGATTAAACTTCCAGTGAGCAGGAAAATTAGCACTTCCTGCAATATCTATATTATTTCATTAGTGTGAGCTTCCTTTTTAAAAAGCACAGCTCCCCCTCCCTTCTGCTTCTTTGAGCATCTTCAAAACTACAGAGAGAGAGAGAGAGAGAGAGAGAGAGAGAGTGTTGTATGAACACTTGGCTAAAAGGACATTGCTGGTTTACAAAGCCATCATCAAGATATTCATGCCATTGGTAATATTTTTGTTCTTATCTGAAGATTCATATTAGAGGAGTGCTTTGATGATGTTGCTCTTTACTGTGTTTGCCCACTTTATGCAGAAGAGATGCATAATGAGCAGCTTTTTCATTAAGGATTCTCCGTATAAAACTCAGAGAGGTTTGCTTCTCAGAATACAGTTCAATGACATTTGATATTTTCTGGAAAATGCTGTGTTGGAATGAGTGAGTTGTCCAATAAATTGCACTGCACTGCTCTGAGGAAGGTTCTCCGGTTTATGGGACAGCTGAGTGCCAGTCACATCTACCACTCAGTTTGACAGGGTGTCTTTTCAGATGTGGGATAAATTTGCAGGATTAATCCCCTATGTTGTACAGTTTAATGTGAGTAGCATTTTTCAGCTGTCCAACCTCATTAGGGTCTGCTCATATTTTGTATAAGAGTGTGAATTCTTATTTGTTCAGCATAGTACCCTTCAAATGTTTTGGACCTCAAGTTCAATCAGTCCCTGCTGGCACACTTGTGTGAGCTGAGGCTGCTAGGCCTGGTAGTTGTTGTAGGCAATTGAAGTAAAACCACTGTATAAGTACGACATGTATCCCAATAGTGTGCGGGTTTCATACAATTAAAAACTGGTTGTGATTTGAATCTACACTGGCATTTCCCATCAGCTTGCCTGACAAATCCATCAGTTTTGCAGATTTGTTGTATGGTCAGATTGTTCATATGGTGATTTCTTCATAGAGAAAGTCACCCTTGGTGCACATGTACTCCCAATGGCCAGTCTGCCACGTACATATTCAGCATGAGGTGGTGGAAAATATTGGGCCAGAATGAAATAATTCACATATGTTAGTTGTACTTAAATGTACAAACAAAGAGAACATGTAAGAAGATCTGCTATCCAGGAGGTAACTGCTGGTGGGCAACTCCAGGTCCCCTCCTGATCCTTCTCCTTATGGTTCTTTAACTTTAAACTGGAGTTGTACTGGATAACCCTTCAAATAGATGACTCCTGTAGATAAAAGATTGTCATCTGGCAGTCCTTCGAAGAGAGGTCTGTACCTAGTGCTAGTTCCACCATTGATGTACCATGAGTGAAAGTCCTCTTGTGCAAAAAAAGCCTCTGATGTTGATCAGAGCAGGTCTTTGTTGTTGATCAGAATGTAGGTACATGTGGGAACATGTAATCTTCAATGTTTGGAGGTTTAAAGGTTTTTAATGAACTCTTTCCAATTTTGCTGTGTAATTCCAAATACTTGATGCTAATATTTATGTATTTATGTAATTATTTTTATTGCATTGTTAAAGTATTCACACACAGTTTCTCAGGATCAGTTTGACATTATCCTTGAAGTTTTGTTTTGCTCTTTATAATCCTTGTAAATATTTTAACATGATTTTTGTTCTGTGTTTCTCTGAGAAATAATATGATCAAAAGCAATATGCTTCAGTGACCAGTATGTAATATTTTCTCATTGTCAAATTAAGATTCCTAGAGATGCAATGTTTTTAGAGGTTACAACATGTTAAAAATCAATTTAAAGTGGTATCTTTTGTAAACCTTTTTTTGTGTTGCTTTTCTGTTTGTGCTACACATTAATATTAAAAAGAAAGAAAATGCAAACATAAAATTATTTTCATGGTCTCCCCCTCCCCCAAGTGTCTGCAATGGGTTATCATTTATTTATGAGACTTAAAAAATCTGGAATATATGGAAATTTTGTCTTGAAGCACAATATAATATTGGATTGAGAATGTTGTCTGACAGTTTCCTTCTTATAGTTCCCTGGAAAGATACTGCTGTATGAATTTTTTAAAGGGGCTTCAATATACTATGTATTTGAAAGTAATCTTGAAGTATGTTATAACAGTGGTTTCTATGCTCCTTGTACACTTGACAAATTCTTCTGCAGACTATTTTTGTGATTTTAATGTGTATAGGTGCAGATAGGTATCTACATCTGCCAGTATATTGTTTGTTTGTTTTTTGGTGTTTTTTTTTGAGTTACAGAAACATTTAAGTATATTTCAAAACAACACAATAGGCTGAGCCATACAGGTTGCTCCACTGCTTTACAGCACCTTCCTGCAGACAACCATTAACGCATACTAGTTCTCAAGCTCATATCCCTTCGTTCAGAAGGAGAAACAAAAACAATGTACATTTTCCAAACAAAAGAAGTTCAAGTGGCAATGTTTTATAGTATTTCATTACCGACACTTCCCTAGTAAAAACTGTAAGTCATAAAAAAAGATTTTATTGAATAAGAAAGGGGGGGGGACAAGGCTTCCTACGAAAGACTATATCCATCCATTTTGGAATGTAAACTCTGAGCAGAAATAAAGAGCTCAGTTCACATTTTTAGAAGTCCCTGTTGGGTGCAATCAGTATGGCCTGAAGGGAGAAGAGTAGCGTGGTGATCCCCTGCTTTGGTATGGAGAATCGCGACTCCTTGAACCAGAACGGGAGCGCGAGTAGCCATAGCTGATGCTTCTTTCAGGACAAACTCTGATATAGGATGTTTCACCCTGAAACAAGGACTCGGAATTCGGAACGCCGTGAAGGAGGGCCATTCCTCCCACGAGGCCCCCCACCAAAGCCTCCACCCCGTCCTCTGGAAGGTTTGGGAAACTCAACGCGTAGGCGACAGTGACCATAATCATAGCCATTCCTCCCATAAACTGCATCTTCTGCATCTCGGGGGTCCTCGAAGCGGACGAAGGCGAAGGGGGCGAGCCCGCGCTTGCTCTTCAGCTCGATGTCACGGATGCGGCCGTACTTGTAGAAAAGCTCCTCCAGGTCCTTCTCGCGCACGTCGGCCGGCAGGTTGCCCACGTAGATGCGGCCGCCGCTCCCGCCTCCCCGGCCGCCCCCTCCGGACATGCCGGCCCCGCCGCCTCCGTAGTCCATCATATCCCGGCCCCAGCCCCCAGACATCCTTCCGAGTCCCTCACAGGCCGCTGCAAACGCCTCATCTGCCAGTATATTGTTGAAGTCAAAATATAGACATACAACCACTTCTTTTAGTGATGGATATATATTCCCTCTGCCCTAAGTCTGTTTCAGAATGGATCCATTCAAAATTGATTTATTAACAGATTATAAACCAAATGTCTGAAATTAATACATTTTAAAAAACTGGTAAATTGTGAATTTGCAAGGCCATTTGAGTGTTTCTGCTTATGTCAACATGAGGATACAGGAGTCCTCAATCTTGAAGGACATTTTCACTCTGTGAACCATCCACAGCAAATTGCTTAGTAAGTGCAGTGACAAAGCTGTGTCTATTCGAGCTGGGCAAAACACAAAATAGAAAGCGGCTCTGTACAGTTTTCTGAACATCCAGTTATCATAGAGGCTGTAGGTCTGGATATGACCTTCATACCTACCACCACCTCCTTAATTTCGTTGTCCCCGAAGGGACAACAATGACAATAATGATATTATTATTATTATTATTATTATTATTATTATTATTATTATTATACAATATGAGGTGGAGGTTGATTTCATTCATTTACTTTTAGGTCAGGTTTTTGTTGTTGTTTTTTGTAAATCATATGTACAATAAAAGGTAACAGGAATGGAGTGCTGTAAGCTGTGGGGAAGTTTCCCTGTACTCCTGATGTCATCAGGAACGCAATGGGATATGTCTTATCCATTGATTCTACAACTCCACGGAGCCATTCAGAAATGGTGCAGACAGAGCCAACTTTATTAGGAAGGGCATGGCAAGCTCAGAGGCCTCTGATATCAGAATGCATTTCAGCATTTAGAGGCCTCTCTGATCTTTTAGGGATCTGCAGACTTTTTAATGAACTCTGAAATGGAAGAAAAATATAATATAATTATTTAACAACACCCCTCCTCCAAAAAAGATCAAGACACGTCAAAAGCAATATATGGACTTTCTTTCTTGCTGTATCAATACCCTGCGATGAATTTTTATATATATACCCTCCCAACATGTGTGAAAATATGGTGTATGTATACTGTGGATATCCTTTAGATAAATTGGCTGAGTAAAGATGGTACTGGTTATATAGAGAATAAAGTGTAATATGGTCATCTGAATATTTAGATTGTTACCAGGTTAATGAGGCAATTAAGGACCATCACCATGTGGCTTTTGTATCAGATTGGCTTTATGTCAGCAATGTAGCAGGGGGAAATTGCCTTACTGAAATTCAGAGTTTACTTGGCTGTAAATGTTCATGTGACTAAATATGAAGACAAGGCCTTAAACTGGAATCACCAAGACCAAGATTGTTTTAACTGAGCTTTTATACTACCTTCAGACCACTATAATGTCTTCATGGTTTAAAACTGTGTGGTGTTGGCAGCTTTGATATTGGATGCTTTCATCTCATAAGGTAATATTACAATTTTTTATTTTATTTTTCTGGCAAACTTGTGAAACATATTCAGTTACCGTATATACTTTCCAAAACAAAGCCCGACTCTCTTCTACCCTTTGAAGAGAATGGTTTTTGGCAACTGGCATGAAGGAGTTTGTAATGCTGTACTGGTAAATGTCTATGCGTCTTGGCTTTTGCTTATCAAGGTTATTTGTCAGAAAAATTATTTTTTGCAATAGCAAAACCTTATCTGCTGACAACCAAACTTAATACTGAGATTTTCCCTCCTTCCAAGCTAGAGCATGTTGATTTTATATATTTATTTTATTTTATAGTTTATCAAGTTTGTCATAGTTTATTTGAAATTAAAATATGTGGTCTTCAAATGACCTTACAGTGACTGACCCTCAAAATCTAATCAGTCCAGACTTTCATGAAAATCGACAAATATGTCAGGTGAACCTTTCAGCATCAAAAATTGTTTTAAATATTTCATTTGCGGACCAGGCATAATTTTACACAGAGTCCTTGTGGCTCCAAGGCCGAACAATGTTGTTTTGCTGATGGCAGGGCTGTATACTGGTTCATGTTACCATCACAAAATCTTCCACTTTTTTGCATTCTAGAAAAGCATAGAATCTACAGGAGTATATTATGTGCATAATCTATTGATTATAATAGACTATGCAAAGTGGCCTTTGGCAGTCAATGCATGGCAAAAAAAGGCAATGTAAAATGAGAGGTAAACAAAACCAGGTTTAAGTCAGCACTGCTTCAAATGTTATATTAATAATTAGCATTTCTATAGGGCTTTAGAGAGCTGGTTTGTACACCAGAACTAGGAACCACAGTTTGAATGACTTTTCCAGTTCTAACTTACAGCCAAACCATATCTTTTCTGGTTTGGATCAACTAGGAAGCCAAGAAAGGAACTGAACTGTGAGAGGGGAAAGGGAAGTCTGTCACCTCGAGGAATTACCGGTAACTCTAGCATGGGCATTGTGTTCAAAATACTTTACATGCCTTCTGACAAGTAGCCTTTACACCAACCCTGTAAAGATGGATACAGACTATCACTGTGTGTAAAAACCACATAAGAGGGTTTAGCTGTGATTGTGCATATTTTGGAAGCATCAGTGCAGGTTTAAAGCAAATAATCATGGGGAAACAAATGTATTATTTTTACATGGAATTTATCTCTACACAAATGGCCCTTGGTTGAATGAGCTGATGAAAGTAATTGTAAAGTAATCCGGAGATTCAACAAGTTTACTCTAAGTAAACTTGCCTTCCACCCGCCACCCTCCTAAAAGTTGGGTTGTACAGTCTAATTGGTCATGCTTTGCTTCCCTTCTGGCCCAAATAAGCAAACAAACTAGGCAGGAGATAATATAGTGTTAAATGTGGACTTGGAATTGTGGTGAAAGAAAGAAAGAAAGAAAGAAAGAAAGAAAGAAAGAAAGAAAGAAAGCTCATTGTAGAAGCAGTAGATCTACACGCACCAGCATGTAGCTAATGCACAGTTTGAAATATTAAGCAAAGAACCTTGGTTTCTCATTATGTGTAAATCTTTTAAAAAGAAAAGAAAATCCTGCATGAACAGTATAGTTTAGTATACCAAGAACATTGCCTTTACCATTGCATTTTAACATAGCCATTGTTCATTATGTACTTTAAAAAAATGCATTTTTCCTTTGAATAAATGCTGCTGAATTACTTATTGTTTGTTGAACTATGACATCTAGGTAAGACAATCATTTAACACAGGATGATTTATCTCTTATTCAAAGCAAGCCGAACCACTAATAAATAAATAAATAAGTAAATAAGCCTCTTTTAATTTTTGACTACTTGAATGCAGTTCAGTATCTGACCCACCAAGGGGAGCTGCAGATTACTGTGGACAGCTCTTTGCTTTCATAAACCAGAAGTGATCAAAAGGCGAGTTTTATTTTCTTCAAAATCTCTTTGCTTGCCTTTCCTGCAGTGAATGTTTTGGGAGTTTTCTTTACTTCTGTGGGAATGAGAAACATCAGGACTTCTATATGTGCAGCCCAGCTGTTGTGATACAGCATTGATATCTCTCTGTGTGTGATGTTAGTGCCTCTGGTACTGGATAATCTGGTACAGAAGTCAATGAACTTAATGCAGTATTGGTAATCCAAGGGAGTTTGAGTTAAATGCTTTTGACATGCAGAATAAAAGTCAAGGGCAAAGCAGACTTTAAATATTCTTTCTGCAGAGCCTGGAATAGCTGTAATTGAATCCTCACATGAAACATATTATCTGAAGTAAAGCTGGCTAGCATCTCATCTCCGAATACCAGAGAGTTAGGGTGTCTTCTCCACACAAATGTTCTTTTGACATTGTTGAACATCAAAACTCCCAGATAATTCATAATGAAAATGCAGACATTCTACGGTATCTACCAAAGCAGGATAAACTCTGTATACAGAAAGTTATAACTCCTACTGGTGCTTCAGCAGCTGACACAGTATGATGTTTGCATCATTGGGTTATTGTTTGTTATTTTGGTGCAGATGTAATTCAAGTAGTGGCACTTTAATCACCTTAATCAGTGAACATTTTAACCTTTGTATAATAATAATAATAATTTATACCCTGCTCATTTGTCTGGGTTTCCCCAGCCACTCTTGAGATTTTGAGGTTCCATTGAAGCTTCAAGTATAAATGCATCTTTTGAAACCTACAGTGTAGACAGTGCATCAAACAGGTTGAATAGAAACTTAGAGCATAGGAGTATCAACAATGTGGCTTGCCCTGGAGCATGATGGCCGATGACCTGACACTCTGTCACTTCCCTTCTAGGTTTGTTCTCCTCATTTGGCAAGTAAGCCGTATATTAATTAAGTAATAACAATAATATGACTTGTGCATCATCCTTGCAAGTATCAAGAAGCCTGTTTGCCTTTCTCACAGTCCTACCTAGATTACCTTGTTTTTCTCAGGCACATCATCCTGTTCTGCATGGTTTATGAAAGCAAAGAGCTGTCCACAGAAATCTGCAGCTCCCCTTGGTGGGTCAGACACTGAACTGCATTCAAATGGTCAAAAATTAAGAGAGACTTATTTATTAGTGGTTCAGCTTGCCTGTGTCAAATGATAGGTTCACCTAGATGTCATAGTTTAAGAAGTAATCCAGGAGCATTTACTGTAAAACTTGAAAGACATCTAATAAAAGTGAGGTGAGGTGTGAGGTGTGCTCAACTCAACAAACTTTGATGGATATAAATGTCTGTTCAATTATCTGGATAATATACCCTTTAGTTGATCAGCTTGTACAGTCTTCTCGTACAGTCCTTCCAGATCCTGCAAAGTGACCAAAGATGTACAACATTTTTCACCCTATGTCAGGCAGCCAAACTTCAGTATTTTGTGCTAAGTACCATTTACCTAGGCAACAGACCAGTTGGGATGGTAGAGTACAAAGAACAGTGCACATAATTTAAGTGGTACAATGAAAAAGAAAATAAGGATTGGCTGGAGGTAGAGGGTAGCTCTTTATTATGTGGATTGAAAACTGGGAGGGCAGTAATAAGTTATATTTTGAATGTTGTGCTTTATCACCTTCAAGTGTAGGTAAATCAAATTCAGAGAAGATTGCTCTGTGAATCAAGTAAGGACACTTTAAAAAATAAATAAATTCGTACACTGCACTTAAGTTGTTTTTGTCATTGTGACAGATCCAGAGCTTGTCATTTTGAAATCACAGCCAAGTTTGTATTGTATTTATTTGTTGTGCTACCTTTTAAAAAAGACTTTCCACACAGTGTGTTGCTTTTGGAACATAACTCCAGCCACCAAATTTCATTGTGAATTTTGTTCATTTGTTGTTTTAAACATTAGTATACCACCATTCAACCAACTGTTCCCAGTGCAGTTCATCATAATATAATACATCAAAATTCCAAACAGCTCAATACAAAAATCATCAGCAGTTTAAAGGTGTTAGAATTTAGAAAAGTGATGAGAATGAAAGGACTTTGCCTGGTGCGAAAAGAACAGCCAAGTGGCTACCAGGCAAGCCTCTCTGGGGAAGGAATTCTGCAGATAGGGTGCTACCACTGGGCAGACCCTTTCCTTACTGGCTGCTACCAGCTTCACTAGATTGTTGTTGTCTACATGGGAGGAGGAAGAAAATCCATCTGTAAACAATGACCCAGCAAATGACCAAGTAGTGGAGGAGGCAACTGTGAGTATGTAAGTCTCTGTCTCCTCTGGACCTTTGCTGGGGACCGGATGTAGGACCTTGTACATGCTAAGTGTGTGTTGGACCCTTGCTGGGTTAACAGCTCCCTACTGATCTTGGCATCAGTAGCAGAACTCCCTTGCTGAGCCCCAGTTTCCCCATAATAGGTGTCTCATGGACAGCTGCTGTGGCAACAGTTTTTTTGCGGCTTGATATATGAGCAGAGCAATTAATTATATGTCAGCATGTTTGTAGTTGATAGGAAAGCAGGTATCCAGTGCTAGCAGATGTAGACCATGAGTTGGAGTGTTGTACCCTGTCTTTGTAAATGGGAAATCTGGGTCCAATCCTTACTCAGTTAATCTTGAGCAAGTCATAATTTGCCCTGTATATCTATTGAATTATTCACCTCTCGAGCACACCAGGCACTCCTTTTAACAGCCTTAAATGTTTTCTAGAAAGACATGGCTATTATCCAGATGCCTTCCAGAACACGTACCTGCCAATCACTTAGACCTCATTTATTTCCTATTTACAGGCCTTGGCTTTGTCCCTCCCAAAACCATGCTTGCAGACTAGCTTTCTCAAGGCTACCAAATGGGTGTTCCTGGCTAATCTTTAGCCACAGCACTTAGCCAGGGGCAGGGATGCAGGCCAGCAATGGGGGAAGCCAGCGGGAAACAGTAGTTAAGTTGCAACATAACTGTGTGCAGATAGTGCCAGAAGTGAAGCAGCTAATGCTAAAGTTGCCCCAGGAGTAGAATAGAGATAAGAAAGGGTACTCAGTGAGAAGAGAGAAGGAATGTATGATGAGCTCGTTATTAAAAGGAAACAAAAGCTCTAGGAGCCAAAAGAACATTCAGGTCACTTATGCAGCAGGTTTTATCTTCACACACTTTTATTATAGTATACAACATGATGTCATTTAGATTTTTTATGGCAACGGTTGTGTTAGCCTTGTCGACTATTTTTACTGGCCTTTTTTACTGTCACATTTGCTTCAGATGCCTAATTTTATGTTATTGCAATGATGTTCCACACTGTGTTCAAAGAATCAATACAAGTCCAAGCATCGTTCCGTGGAGATCACATTATATGAGTTTAATAACGTACAATATGGGCTTTGATGTATATGCAGGTTGTGTTTCCCAGGGTTTTTCTTTCTCCTTTTTTTTTTAAAAAAAAACTACTACGATGAAATTCTTTTGAGTAGTGTTTATTCTTTTTGTCAGCACACTTTATAATATCAAAGCCTTTCCAGAGGAGTGTAGGACTACTGAGTTATGTTTGGGTCATGTTTTGCTGTGCGCCCTTTAATACTGTAGCTTTAGAAATGCAATTTTCAGCCTCTGCTTATTAGAATATGATAAAGTATTCCTGGTCTATGTCCAGCTCCACTAATCTCCAGACTACACTTCATGAATTAGGCATGAAGATTTTAGTCAATGTGCTTTCAAAGACCAATGTTTAGGGAATCATGGATTTTCTACAAGCTGAGGGAGAAATCTATAATAGGAGGAACTGATTTTCAGACATCATATTCGTTGGAAGAAATGACCACTTTCTGGCTTAGAAACAGAAGAGAACACATTAATTAGAATGCTGACAATCTGGTTAAAATGTACTGTACACTTTTAAGAAAGAAACGCTGTAGCTTTTTAAAATGCTGGGTAACTGCTCCACAGAGCCTGCTACTGCCTCATAATATCAGGTCCGTTTATTCTTGTAATTTTCAAGAAGTTGCTTACAAATTAAGTAAATTTGGTCATGCTTAACCCTGTTACCTCTGTCCCCTGCTATAATTACCAGCCCTACTGGTAAGCACATAATCCTGGTCTCCCAAGGACATCTGCAGGTAAAAGAAGCCATTAGCAGCAATCTGTTTTATACATGAAATGGGGAATGCCCGTGAAAATGTCCCACCCTTTTGGCACAACAGTCCCTTTCACTGCAAAACCACTTTTTAAAATGTCTTTTTTTAAAAAAAGGCTGATAATCCAGTATTATATGCACATATATATTGTACAAAGTAGCAAATCAAAATCTTAGGTCTAGTTTATTTGTTATTATGCATACATATTTTTTAATACCATAGCTATTGTGTATAGCACACATGGACAACCCACAGGCTTCATACAGGCCTTCATTGTGCTTTGCATGGATGTCGAAGACACTCCCACTGCCTCCCAATTTCTTCTATTTGCTGTTGAATTTTGGTGCCCAACCCATCATGCAGGCTATTAGGTGGGCTCTTCAGAACACAGTTGCCATGGGGAGAAAAGTGCTCAGGGATGGTACTCGCCATTCACTTACTTCCTGATTGCAGCTATATTCCCTCAGGCCACTAAACATCTTTTTAGCTGGCTTGAAGGAAGCACAATTGGAATGGGGAAAGATGCGTGCAGGAAGTCATCCTTCCCCCCACCCTTGTACCTCAGTCTCCATATAAATCAAACTTAGACTGTGAGGAGTGCAGTCATGATTGAGAGAATGGTACACAGAGAAGGTTTATCTCCTCCTCCTCAAGAGTGTGTGTAGGTGAGCCCAGACCCTACCCACCATTGGCTCTAGCCATACCCAGTGGCATGTGATGCCCACTTTCCACCTACTGTTGCTTGTGGTCCATGGGGCAAAAATACCTAGTGCATAGGAACATTCAACACTAGATCTGCTCAAAGTAGACCCATTGATGTAAGTAACTTACTCATTTGCAGAGCATTTCTTCTGAGTGCATTTCTTCTTTTATTTAGTTTAATAAAATCCATTGATAGCTATGAATAAATTCATGTAACAATAAACTTAGTTCATGTAACCTAGGCTTTATATAAAGTGCTTTAATCTATTATCCATCCTATCACTTGCTAGGCATTGTACAGAATGCAGAAGTGATATGGATTCCTTGACCCAAAAGCTTATACTTGGGTCTGAGTCACAAACATTCAAGAGTTTCCATCATAAAAATCAAACCCACAGCTTTGAGTGACCAGCCACAAGCCCAGTGTAAAATGTTAGAGAATAGATCCTAAGTACATAGCAATGAGGATAGAAGCTGAGAATTATTAATAAATTATTATTATATTTTTATCCCACCCTCATAGGAGTTTAGGGAAGTGTATTGTTTCCTGCCACTGGCTTTATTCTCACAATTACCCTGCTGGTTATAGTGGTATCTTCAAGATTAATTTATTGTGGCATAAGACTTTGTGGTGTAAGAGTTCATCAGAGCCTATACTGGAAGACATACTGTATACACAGTTCTGGAGGTAGGCATAGGGAGGAGTGAGGTCAGAAGAAAGTGATATTTATAAAGGACAGATGGTGACAAATAAAAACATTTACATGGTTCCATTGGTGCAATTCACAATGTGCTGTTGGTGATAACACTGAAACTCGCTGGCATAGGTAAGCTTTCATATATGAAGTAGAATTAAAACCCATAATCTCAATTCAGACCACAGGTGATAGAAATGAATTTCCTGATAAACTGATTTTATGCTGGAGTTTCCCTTTGATGTTTCATTGATTCAGAATGGCTACTTGAAGGCTAGCGGCATTCTGTAAGGCTAAAATGGCCTCTTTTGAAGTCTGTCCTTTCAGATGTCTGACTTGTGTTCATTTATTCTTTTCCATGGAGGCTGACCAGTTTGTCATTAGTGGGACACAGAAGGGCATTCACTGCTGATAGATGATGATGTATGTCACAATGGAAGATGAGCAGGTAAACCCTCTGCTGTTGCAGCTGACTTTATTAGATATGAGGTCAGAGTTGGCATCTAGTTGTGTCTCTGTTATGTGGCCTGTTGTTGCTGGTAAAGAGCATTTTTAAGTTAGTCTCCAAGCAAGAATGGCCCTATACCTGAGACCTGTAAAGGGAAAAGTGCCATTGTCTGGGATGGATTGTAGATCATTGTAGTTCATAGGGCCTTCTCTGCAGTGGCACCCATACTGTGAAACTATCTCCCTTTAAGAGTTATGAATAATTTGTTAGTTTTGATTAATTTTATTTCATGAAAATTATATATATGACTTGATTGTAAGAAAACCTCTAAGCAGTTTACTGTGCAACTTACAGTTTACTGGACCAGAGAGGTGATCAGTGCCTCTTTACAAGAAGGGGTGGTCCCTGCCTGTTTGAAGGAGGAAGTGGTAAAACCACTCCTTAAGAAACCTTCCCTGGATTTGGAAAACCTAACTAACTACCAGCCAGTTGCTAATTTCCCTTTACTGAGCAAGGTTCTGGAGTGAGTGGTCGCAGATCCAGGTGCTTTGGGAAGAAATAGATTTTCTAGATCCATTTCTATCGGTAAAGTAAACCCACTATGTATATTGGTCTAGGCTTTAAAATTATGGAAGTTGTGGTGACATTTCTTGAGTGCCACCTGTCTACGAGGTCAGATAAAATTGTCATCAATGCATCTGACCTCTACATTGTCACCCAGTTAACTCCATGGCTGAATGGCAGTTTTAACTTGTGTCTACACAGTCTGAAACTGGCACTCTAGTCACTGCTATAAATTTTGACTCTTAATTAATTTACAGAGTCTGTAGTTGCTGTTTCTCAGTGATTAATCATGTTTTTGTTTAATATGGTGTATAGGGTTTGGATGGTAGAGAGTATTTTGGTGGCCTTTAAATCTGTTTTAAAAAGGTTAATATTTTAAGCAGGGAGAAGACTACAGCCAACAAATGACTCATAAGAACTGTGGAAGTTTTCATCTTGATATGGTGCAATAATCTGTGTTCTCAGTTGAAGAATGTAGCGGAGTTGAGTTTCCAGTGTCAAGTTCTTCAGGGAAGGTGAAGTGGTGTTCTGAAGCTTCATGAACCATGTCTGTGCTGAATATACTGACAGAACTAAGCAAACATGAAGTCATCCTAATTACTGATGAGCAAAGGGACATTTTTCCACTGCATTCCTTTCCCCTTTTTATAAAAGGCAGGATGCTATTGTTGTAGCTCTGAGAGCCCCCAGGCTGCTCAGAAAACAGGCAAAAAAATCAATAACCCACTTGTTGAGGATAAGTGAATTAGCTTGTGTTGAATGTAACCGAGTACCTGAACACTTCACTGAGCAGCTTTGGTTTTGTGAGAAAAGAGAATTGTAAGGATTGTCTTGCTGTGGCTGGGACTGGTGCTGATTTCTGATTAATCATGCCAAATAAGGAGGAGTTGCCTGTTTATCCTGGGTACTAATGTGGGATTTTGTTCTCTTTCTCTATCTTTCTTTGCACAGTTCAGCTCTCTGAGCAGAATTATCTCTAGTCCAAGCTTCATTATTAAATGCCTTGGTAAAAATAAAAACCTCATAGAAAGAGCCATGGTATAAATTAAAATTATGTTGTACTGCATTTAACTACAGACCAGATCCTGCAGTCCAACTTTCTTTTTCTCACTGATTAGTATCTGTGGGAAAGCTGTAGCCAGGATGAACAGTATGTCCTTGTCTTAGGTGTTAGTCTTGAATGCATCCTCCCTCTGCTGCCAGTTTCATTGTTGGTTTGATCTTGATTGTGTGTTTGGGTAGGGGTGGAATCCTATGCAAAGAGATTGCATGAAAAGCTGGGAACATTTCAAAAGTCAGTGCTCTGTTGGCTCTAAAGCAAAGGCAGATAGGCTTTGAATGGTTTTATGGCAACCAAAGCCAGTTTGTGGAATCATTTCAGTAAATAACATTTAACAAAAGTTAATCCAGGTAAACTGTCTCCTACAAGATGTTCAGACCAAGCTACAAAAAAAGAAAAATGAAAAGTTTTGAAGAACTTTTGGGAATAAAGTATTTGGTTGGCTATTAATTCATTTATCTTCTTTGGCGATCGCTCGTAGCCGAGTAAGATTGTCTTCCATAAACACAGTTTTAACAATGAGTCCATAAGTGACTGTGGAGGCCAGTTCTGGATCTACACGTCCCTCCACAATGGGGACATTGGTTTCCGGGTTGGAGTTGATCACGGTGTGGATTTGCCAAGCGTGCCTTCCTCTTAGCACGTTTCTCCCTTGTGTCCTGAGTTTGAGTGTCTTCAAAGCCCATGGCACCTTTGGTAAAGGCTGTTCTCCAACTGGAGTGCTCGCAGGCCAATGTTTCCCAGTTGTCAGTGTTTATACTACTTTTTTAAGGTTTGCATTGAGACAGTCTTTAAAACTCTTTTGTTGACCACCAGCATTACTCTTTCCATTTTTAAGTTTGGAATAGAGTACTTGCTTTGGAAGACAATCATCAGGCATCCACACAACATGACCAGTCCAACGAAGTTGATGTTGAAGAATCATTGCTTCAACACTGGTGATCTTTGCTTCTTCCAGTACACTGATATTCGTTCACCTGTCTTCCCAAGTGATGTGCAAAATTTTTCGGAGACACCATTGATGGAATCTTTTGAGGAGTTGGAGATGGCGTTTATAAGTGGTCCATGTTTCACAAGTATATAGTAAGGTTGGTAGTACAATAGCTTTGTAAACAAGGATTTTGGTTCCCCAGTGAATGTCCCGGTCCTCAAACACTCTACACTTCAATCAGGAGAAAGCCGCACTCACAGAGCTCAGGCGATGCTGGATTTTGGCATCAGTGTTGGCCCTTGTGGGAAGATAACTGCCTAGGTAGGAGAAGTGATCAACATTTTCCAACATTACACCATTGAGTTGGATTTATGGCACTGCAGAGGGGCTATTTTGTACTTGTTGGTACAGCACTTTGGTTTTTTGGATGTTGAGTGATAGGCCAAGCTTTCGTAAGCTTCTGCAAAGATATTTAGGATGGTTTGGAGGTCATCCTCTGAGCATGCACACACTACGTTATCATCAGCATACTGAAGCTCTATGACGGAAGTTACAGTAACTTTACTCTCTCCTTTCAGCCTGCTCAGATTTATATCCAGCTTTATATCCAGCTTTCTTCCATCATGGAATTCAACATGACACTTTCCCGCCATAGCACTGACCCATCCCTTCTTATGAACACAGGAAGAAGAGAGATACTTTTGGAACTCCTCACAATTCCCTCTTTTTTAAACTACCCTGAACAATTTGGCATCATCAGCAAACTTCGCCACTCACTGCTCATGTAACTTTCCTTCTTG